CACTTGGGCTTGGTGGTGTGGGCTTAGGCCCGGTCAATTTGCTCATTCTTTTCCCTGCAAAACAGACGTTATGGTTATATATTTGACATAAATTTAACAAATACTATTTCTATATAACTTTTCAACATTAGGTAAGTTTCTGATTTTAACATAACAAGTTAATTATTCTTCTTAATATTATTACCTGGGTTATCAATTTTGGAATCAAACTGATGAAAATGGTTACTTCAGGATAAGTGGCGTTCGAGGAGGTACTTACAGCTTGAATGCTTGGGTCGCAAGAATGATGGGGGACTACAAACATGACACTGATATTGTCATCACGCCAGGTTTTAATCTCAATACCTACTGAATTTTATATTTGAAAGTTGAAAAATAATTCTTTCATGCAATTTATGGAGAAAACTGACATATTTCCCTCAAATTAATGATCTTTAATGCAGGAAGTCAAATTCAACTAGGAAATCTTGTATAAAGTCCTCCAAGAAATGGTCCAACCCTATGGGAAATTGGGATCCCCGATCGTACTCCTGCTGAGTTCTACGTGCCTGATCCATCGCCGAAGTTGAGGAACCATTTATCTACTAAACAAAATCAGAAGTAGGCTCCTATTAAATGATGACCATTGATTTTACATTAATTGAGCTTTTCTCCAAAGAAATTCTTACCTATTTCTATTAATCACTTCTATTACATTCAGGTATAGACAATACGGATTGTGGGATAGATATACAGATTTATATCCTGATCAAGATCTAGTTTACACTGTTGGAACCAGTGATTACAAAAAAGATTGGTTCTTTGCTCATGTCGACAGGTATTTAGCAAACATTTTTTTAGTCATTTTGTTCCTTTGTAAGATGAAATCGCAAATTAATTCGAAATTATTGCAGGAGAACAAATAGTACATCCTAGTCGATGACATGGCAAGTTTCATTCGATTTAACAAATGTTGCAAGGACGCAAACCTATATGCTCCAGATAGCACTAGCTTCTGCCACCTATGCCAAAGTACAAGTATGATTTATAAAAAGCTTTCATTTCTTATAGAATATTATAGAATAGTGAGGAATTATGAATATATCTTTTTAATGTTGATTCATTTCTTCTTATGGTTCGATTCAATAATCCGTTCACATCACGACCTCACTTTACAACAAGGTTGATAGGAAAGGATAATGCAATTGCAAGACATGGACTTCATGGATTATGCTCATTATATAGCATTAATGTACCAAGATCTCGACTAGTGCATGGAAGAAATACAATATATCTAAAGCAATCAAGAGGTAAAAATCCTTTCTATGGAGTCATGTATGACTACATTCGCTTTGAAGGGCCACTAGAAGTCAAACACTAGACTGATCAATTGAATTAGTTTACATGCTGCTTAGTATGACTACATTCTCATCCCTGCTGCATCCTCTCCATTTGACCAAGTACTATTGATGATATTTTCTAGAAGCTCGA